AACCGTTAAATGTGTAAAACTCGTCGAGTACTATATGGCTGTAAAAAATTACATTAATCGGATATGGATAGTTATATGATTAAATCAGTTTTGTATAAAGAATAAATGGTGTTATAGTTAACAGTTAACAAAAAAATAACACGATCAGATAACTATCGATATCCGATCAACATGATTTTTTACAATTTTATAATATTCGACGAGTTCTACATATTGAACGGTTCCAATTAGCAAAACGGGACCCGTAGTCACTGGCCAAACAATATTGTTCAATTTAAGCTTGAAAATAAGACAATCATTTTTCATCTCCCAACCAACCTACTACACGGTATTGTAGAGGCTACTCAATAATTTTTCTTATATGCTTATTTATATAATTTTTTAATACATATTTTTTTTTATAAAAAATTAAAAAATTAACTCAAATATTCATCTCTTTTTTTCTCAATTTTTTAGTCTAAAAAGACAAAAAATACGTTTATTTAAGACATTCCAAACAACTCATAAATTACAATTTTCCTAAAAATATTATACACGTGTGGCATAAACATTATTTCATGAAATTCCGTTAGAATCACACATTTTTTAAAACAGGACTGATACAGCCCCCTCAGTTTCTCACCCCCACCACCCCACACACACGTGGGTTGGTGAGTGGGGTAGTAAAAAAAAAAAAATATATTTTTGACCAATGAAAAGAAGAAGGGGTCGTGGGGTCTCAGTCTTTTTTTGTTTTTAAAATATTTTTTTACTCATTTCATAGGATGATGTGCGATGTACTCATACTTTTTGTTTCTTTTGGGTGACAGGATCCATTTGTACTTACGCCACTTTTAAAAAGATGGTTAGGAGTCATTTTTAATTTTTAACATATTTTAATTTATATTATTTTTTTATGCTTTTATACATTTTTTTAAAAAAATTAAAAAATTAATTTTTAATCAATTTTTCAAAACAACTTTATTAATAGATGATAAAAAAATAAGTAATGCTAGAGACTCTAAGCCTCCGTTTGGGAAGTGGGTTGACTTTTTGGCTTTTTGACTTTTTTGGCTATTTTAGCCTGGGCTAAAAAGTTTGGTTTGGAAAGGACTTTTTGGCTTTTTGGCTTTTTTGATTTTTTTTGTGAGAGAAGAGTGTAATGATTATGGATTGGATGTGATGTTTTATTTGTTGTGACTAAAATAGTCTGTTTTGTCTTTTGTGGCTATTTTAGTCCCAACCCAACTTGCCAAACACCACCTAAATATTCTATTAAAAGTTTTACCAAATGTCTCACATGTGTGAGACCCATACAATATGAGTTCCATGTGCGTCTCACACTTATGTGAGATATTTGATAAAACTTTTAATAAAATTTTTAAGACCTCTAGCATTTTTGTAAAAAAATATAACAAAACAAAAAATATGTGACGGTAGCAAAACTCAGTAGGCACGCGTTAGCACACGTTGGGCTCCGTTACATTGGGTAGTACAATCTGTACTAAGCACAAGAAGACAAGAGAGAAAGTACAAAATAAGGAGAGTACAAGTTTTTAAAGCGACAAGCAGTGGGCGCCGTGGTAAATATCCGAAACTGGCGGCGCAGTTGGAATTTGCAAGAATTCCTCCAACTTATACTAAATAATAAAAAAAAACAACAATGATTCATCCCACTAAAAACATCACCACTAATAGCACTAATACATTAAAAAAGTAAAAAAAAAAAAAAAAAATACAACTCTAAGATCAAAACATCACATCATTAATGGCGGGACCTACTGCCACCTAATTAGTGGGAGCACTAATTAGTGCTCCAAAGCATTTTTCAAAAAAAAAAGTATTGTTAGACACCACTGAAAGTTATCCCCTAAAGTAATCATTAATAATGTGATATTTAATTTTTTTAATAAAGGATATAGACACAATAATTGTGACAGTAGGTTACTGTCACATCATTAGTGATGATACTAATTAATATTCCTATTCATTTTCCTAAAAAGTAGAGAGTTTTTGTTTTTGTTTTTATTTTTTAAATATATATTTTGAATAAAAATAAACATAAATTTAAAAAATTATTTAGAATTTTTTTGTTAATTTTTTTTTTGTTTTATTTTTACGCTTTTACATCTGATTACATTAGAAGACCCAAAAAAAATTTAAAAAAAAATTACCAAAAACAAAAACAAAGAAAAAAAAAATTTCTTTTTAGATATGCAAAAAAAAAATTCTTATTAAATTCTTTTAGAATAGAATTACTAGAAAATAAAGGAGTTTTTTTTTTAAGATCTATGATATTAAAATTTTGGATAAATTATGCTGACACCTCTTAAGATTTGATCTAATTATATCCCACTCCCTGATGTTATGAAAATTATATTTTCACTCCTGTGGTTCATTTCACAAACCTTTTTACTTATATAAAAGGCAACAACTTTTGATAGAAAAATAGAAAAATTATATTTAAAAAAAAAAGTAAAGCAAAGGGGAAAAAGAAATAAAGTAAAGTAAAGTAAGAAAATAGAATGTATGAATTTAATATATTTTTAATACTAACGTTAATTTCATCCAAATAATTGTAATGACAGGGGTCAGTGTAATTTCCTAAACGTCAATGAATGGTATATATTAAATCAAAACCTCAGGAGGCACAAGTGTAATTTATCGACGTTTATAAGATATAATATTTTTTATAGTAATTAGGATCCCTCGACATTTTCACAGAAAAAATTCAACTTAGATAAATTTGTACTTAACTTGGAGAAATTTTAGTCCAAATTAGAAAAATTTCAATCTGAACCTAGATAAATTTCTCTGATATGATCACAGAAAAATTTTATTGAGTGACTTTAACTAACAAAAAAAATATATCTTAGATCTTTCTTACTATACAAAATTAAAGAGAGATGTTTAATTAATTTTCTTGAAAATAAATATTGTTCACACACACACATATATATATATATATATATATAATCATTAAAGATGTTTAATTAATTTTCTTGAAAATAAATATTGTTCACACACACACATATAGTGCGCACACGCACATATATATATATAATCATTAAAGACAATATTTTAAAAATATAATAAAATAAAATAAAATTTTGACTTCTACCAAACAAAATAAAAAATAACAGTTTCGATTAGGGGTGGGCGCGGATCAGTTGCGGTTATAGAATTTCCAATCCACCATCCGTCCATGAGATTGGCAGATTGGAGAAAATCAATCTGTATCCGTCTGCCAATATGGTAGATGTGGATTGAGTAGATTGGCGGATTGATGCGAATCGGTTTGACGGTTTAAAATTTTATAAATTTTTAACATAATTCAACTTGTGCACTTCAAAAAAAAAAGAAAAGAAAAGAGTATTACAATCAATGACTTAAAAAAGTATTACAATTATTGGATGCCTCATCCAAATAAAAAACAGTTTGAACTTTAGAAAATTACAATTACTGCATGCCTCATCCACATATTACAATCACAGTATGTCTCATCCACATAAAGTATTATAATTTGTGATTCTTAAAATATAAAAATAATTCAAACCGCCAAAGTCATGAATAAAGCAGTAGTAGAGATTGTATACATTTGTATTATTACATCTATATCTGTTTTCAAAACAAAAACCATTATTTTTAGGGTTAGATTTAAAAACAAAAAAATATAGATAAATAATACATTTATTTTTTTTAATTCAAAAAATATATTCAAGTTGAAAGCTATTTTTCAACAGAATATATTTAACATAATATTTAAACCCATTTTTAATTGAAACACAAATAAAATATCTAAACAAATTAAAAACACAAAATCTTATAAATTACTAAAGATGCTCGCGGTTTGACAGTTCGGTTGCCGCTAAAGGAATTTCAAGTCCGCTATCTATCCAAAACTAAGCAGATTGAACAAAATCAATCCACAATCGTTCGTTCGTTCGTCATCACGTATCGATTCAAAATGCGACGGATCGATTCGATTTAGACAAATCAATATATTCGCTAATCAACCTTAATTTTGATAATGAAATTTGCTAGGACCATTTAACCATGGTCATATAAAGATTGGTTTGGTATTCAAAAGGTGTTTATATATATATATATATATTGGGTTCGATAATGAATTTTTTTTTTTTTTAAGTTTTACAAATTCTTAAACTAAATTTAATTATGAATTTCAATAGATATTTAAAAAGAAAAAAAAAGTAAAAGAAATGTAAGCTATATATATATTATCTTTCCCTTCATTCAAACAGTAAAAAAGTGCTCAAAAGTAAAAAAAATATTATTATTATTTATTTGATTTTTTAATTTTTTTATATCTTCCATGAAACTTCTCCAACTACTGAACTTTAAGAGCCCGTTTGTTTTTAAGGGTAGAATGGAAGAGATTGATAATGAAAGAATTGATAGTGAGAGAATTAAATAAAATTGTGTTTATTTTAATGTTAGTTATTAGTGTAAAGATTGTTAAATTATTTTTATATAAAATAAATATAAAATAATAAAACAAATAAAAAAAATATAAAAACATTAAGCATTAATGTTTTAAAAAAAATACCTAACATGTAAAATTTTTTTAAAAAAATAAAAATAAAATAAAAAAAATTTAGAAAATAAATAAAATAATGATTTTTACTTAACAAAAAAATATAAAAAAATTAAACATTAATGTTCATGTAAAAATGCCTGATATGTAAAAAATAAAATAAAAATAAAAAATTTCTAGTCCGTCGGATTATTTTTATAATACCAAGTCCTGTAGACCCATCCGAATCCCATCTGCAAGGCCTATCTTAAGCCATTCGACTTGTTAGTCCCTTTCTCAACTCTGTAATCAAATAGCACATTAAATGAGACTCACAGCTATCTTAATCTCAACCTTCTTCTTATATCCAAAACAAACGGGGCCTAATCAACAAGAAGAATAAACAAAATCTTAACAATTAACAAGAACGTGTGAATAAATCAAAAAATGAAAATCACAATTTATTTTGGGAATTTGGTTTGTCAAAAACAATTTACGACAAAATAATAATAATAATGATAATTCCTAGACTGGCCACAAAACCATTTAATTTACCCAAATTTACAGACAACACAACAGATAAATCTAAAATAAAGAAACAAGAAAGAAAAGAAAATGCAAAAGACAAAAAAAAAAAGGGAAATTTTCAGGCGACGTCGAGAGCAACGTCGTCAAAGCTCCAGAGTTCCACGGCGGCGTCACCGCCGGCGACGCTCTCATGAGCGGGAATGGGCAGAGCAGCGGCTGACTGGCCGTCGAGGTAAGGAATTTGGTAGAATTTCATGTAGGATTCGAAGACCATCAGCTCCTCCGAGAGTTTCTGCACTTGGTTCTGTTCCTCCTCTTCCTCCGCCACTTCGATCAAAGAAGGTTCTTTGCTCTTTTCTCTTACCTCCTTCGTCTCTTCCTCTTCCTTCACTTTCACCTCACCCGAACCCACCGACTCGTAAGCACTTTCTGAACCAGACCCATAAAATTCTTCGCCGTAGAACCCATTACAGTTGCATGTCCCGAACTGGTTCAAATCATCAGCAAACCCGTTGTGGGTTTGATGCAGAGGAGGATAGGGATTACGCTTAGTGGTTGGTGGAATGTAATTGTCGCCTTCGTTGGGGAAGTTAACTTTGGCTTTATTTCCTCTGATTTTGCGAGCTGCCTTGTCGTAGGCTCTTGCAGCTTCTTCGGGGGTGTTGAAGGTGCCAAGCCAAACCCTCACACCTTTTCTAGGATCTCGGATCTCAGCTGCCCATTTTCCCCACGGACGCTGCCTGATTCCCCTGTAGAGGTTCTTCCGCTGCCTCTTGACAGGCTTTTCGAGTTGCTCCTCACCTGTTCGAAGAAAGTCCTCAATCAGAAACAAAAATTAAAAACACATACATACACAGTGAAGATCGAGAAAGGGGATTACCGGGTCGTTTGGAAATGGGTTGTGGAACTTGTGGGGAGATGGAATTGAGGTCGGAGGGGAAGGTGTTGAATTTGGTGGCGAAGGGGGAGTTGGGCCAGAGGTCCAAGGCGGAGACGCTGCGGTGGCCGTCGCGAGGAAAGAGGCCCTTGAGGATTGCGCCGCCACACATTTGTTTTGTTTTTTTCCCCTTTAATGGTAATGATATGAGTGAGTAGACAAGAATTTGTGGAAAGAATTTATAGAAGCGCCGACAAGGGATGGTAGAAAGTAAGTAATTGTTGAAGTAGAAGCTTGTTGTTCTTTGAAGGAGAAAGAGAGAGACGGGGGTTTTTGTATGAAGAAGAAGACAGACAGAGAGAGAGAGAGCCGACAAAGAATGGTAGAAAGTACAGTAATTGTTGAAGTAGAAGCTTGTTGATCTTTGAATGAGAAAGAGAGAGACGGGGGGGTTTTGTAGGAAGAAGAAGAGAGAGAGAGAGAGAGAGAGAGAGAGAGAGTGTGTGCGGTGTGGGTGACAACAGGGGTGTGTAAGGTAGGGTTGGGTAGGGTAGGGTAGGAAGGGAGGGAGAGAGAGGAAGCCGAACTTTCGTTGAGTTAGCAATTCCTTTCTTCCAACCTTTTTGTTTGTTTTTACCTTGTTTTCCTGGTCTTGCGTGGTAGGCAAGTTATTACTCCCTCCGTTCCATAATATTAGTCCCTTATTCCATTTTTCATTGTCCCAAAATATTAGTCCCTCTTCAAAAATCAAGTACAAAAATAATATAAATTTCCCATTTTGCCCTTCTTTTAAATTCATAAATAATATAAAAAGTACAATTATGACATTGATATTCTCAAAAAAGTGTACTATCAAAGGGTAATTTTGGAAAACCAACTTTTTAAAAGTACAATAATTGTACTACCAAAAAAAGTTGGATTCCCCAAAAGGGACCATTATTTTGGGACGGAGGGAGTATCATTATTATTAACGTGCAAGATCCTCCAGAATTTTTTTTAAAAATTTTTTTGGAGTGATGCATTGGTGGTGATTGGGAAGCAAGTACCCAATTTTTTTTTTTTTTTCACTAAAAGATAAAAGTTTTGTAAAATCATAAAAAACACATCTAAACAAAATATCATATCTAACTCCATAATCATTTTACTTTTTCTCTCACAAACATCACATCCAACCACATAAAAACCCAACTATCTTCTCAAACACCAAAATTTTTTTATCTCATAAAAACCTACATCTAATAAAATCTACACAAAAACTCACTTCCCAAACACCATCATTGTGTGGTTGAGATTTAATGACAAGTCACATTAATTTTTTAATATTAAATCTCAACCACACAATACAACACTTTAGAAAACTTTAAGAAAAAAACATTCTAAAAGATCCTTGGTGATTATTAACAGTGTATTTGGTTTGAGAAATTGAATTTTTTGATTTATATATATATATATTTTTTATTTTTAATAAATATTTTTAATGAAAAACCTAACCAAGCAAGTTGAAATTTATTTATTTTTTTGAAAAAAGTACTATTATAGATTTATAAAAAAAAATTACAATTTTAATTAAGAAAATATTATGATATACACTTCTCAAATGATATATACTATATGCACCTTATAACTATATAAGAAAATGATATAATTTTATACTTTTTGAGTTATAACTAAAAAAAATCATAATGAAATATTTCAAAATAATGTCATAACTAAATATAAAAATGACATAACTAAGAGTGTATATGGTATGGAGTGTATGTAATAAAATTATCTTTTTAATTATAAATGTGTATAAAATTTGTCATTTATCTGTGATTTTTTTAAAAGTGTATATTGTACTGAAATTTCTCCTTATTTTTTTCAACTCTGTAAATTTTAAATTTAGACTGTAAATTTTAATTTTGAGGCGCTGTTGGCTGACTGTTATAGTTTATAATTTAATTTTGATAAACATAAAAAAATTGTTTGAGAAATATAATTATTTTAAAATTTTATTTTAAAAATAGTGAAAGAATAATTGCTGACGATGGATGATCCAAGCCGATGTTGTCAATTGTGGTGGTGATAGTATAAGAGTAAGAGATGGAATAATATTTTTCTAAATAAGTATAAATAATTTTTTTGTGATTATTAAAATTTTGTTAATTTTCTAAACTATTTATAAGTTTTTGTAACGAAAATAAACATTAAATGAGTTTTATATACATTTTTAATTTAAAAAAAATAATAAATATAAGCAAAACAACAAATGTTGTCAAAGTACCTAAGTATTTTATTGGGCACGAAACATTTTGCTTTTTTTTTTTAATTAAAAAAGAAACAATCTTGAACACTCATATGGTCCTATTTTTTTTTTGCTATATTAAAAAAAAAAAAATCTTAGGCCATGTTTAGTTTGTATTTGTGAAAAAATTTTAAAAAATAATTTTTTGAAAAGAGTTTATAAAATTTAAAAATTTGTTTGATTGTATATTTTGAAAATAATTTTGAAATTTTAGGTGATTTAAGATTATTTTGGAAAGATGGTTAGAAGTTATCTTTTAGCTTTTAACCTATTTTAGGTAATATGATCTCTTATATTTTTTACACATTTTTAAAAAAAAAAATCAAAAAATTAGTTTTTAACCATCTTCTCGAAACAACTCTTAATTTTTTTTTATAATAGATAAATGTGAGAGAAAAAATAATTGATTGATGTGTAAGATGTGAGAAAAATATAGGAGAGAAAAAAAAAGAAAAAGTAATTGATTGATGTATAATAGAGATAAAAGGAATTTTGATTTTTTTTTTATGAAAAAAAAATTCAACCAAACAAATTTTTGAATTTTTTTTGGTTCAAAAATTGTCTCTTAAGAGACAAACCAAACAAGGCTTTAAACTTTTTGTGAGATATATGACTCGAGTTAGTGAGACTCTGTTTGAGAATTAATTATTTTATTTATGTTTTATAAAATACATATAAAATAATAAAATAAATAATATAATAATTTGTAATGGCCTTTTGACATTTCAATTAAAAACTAAGGTGGTGTTTGGCAAGTAATTTTGTGGTTAAAATAGTCATAAAAGACAAAATAGGTTATTTTAGTCACAACAAATAAAATATCACAATCAACCTAAAATCATTACACTCTTTTCTCAATAAAAAAAAGTCAAAAAAATCAAAAAGTCCTTCCCAAACTAAGCCTGTGTTTGGCAAGTGGGTTTGCAGGCTTTTATGGCTATTTTAGCCACAAAAAACAAAATAGGCTATTTTAGTCATAATAAACAAAACATCACATCCAACCCATAATCATTACATTCTTTTCTCACAAAAAAACTCAAAAAAGCCAAAAAGTCATTCCCAAACCAAGTTTTTAAGTCCAGGCTAAAATAGTCAAAAAAGCCAAAAAGTCAAAAAGTCAACCCACTTCCCAAACGGAGGCTAAGTTTTTAGCCCAGGCTAAAATAGCTAAAAAAATCAAAAAACTAAAAAATCAACTCACTTCCCAAACGGAGGCAAACTATCCAAACAACATCTCATAGTTACTCAAAAATTAACCACAATGGTATTCTCTATTATTATTTTTTAAAATGATATACAAACATAATTTTTATATTTATTTTTTAAATTGAAAAATGCCTTATACCCCCACTGGGTTAAATTTAATAATTTGTAAGTAAGATAATTAATTAATAATTAGTAAAGATATAAAAAATAACACATAAAAATAATTAATTAATTAATCATTAAATTTAAAATTTTAAATAACACTACCCTATTTTTTATGTCAAGTAAAATCTTTCAGCCTAACATCTATTATAGGACTGGAACCCAAGTTTTTAATTATTTTTTATATTTTTTTAAATACTTTATTGTTGGTCAATCCGTATAGCTTTTTTTGATGAGGTCAATCCTCATAGCTGGATAGATGAGAAGATGCTTCACCGAATCGCTGACTCGTAAAGTTTTCTGTTGATGTATGACTCAGAAAACCACAACGCACATTGTATTTCAAAACTCATGGCCAACTCCGAGAGATGTTATTGGTTGATTTTAAAATACAGTGATATTTTAATAATATTATAATGGATAAAAAAGGTAATATTTACAAATTTACGTTGAGTTGTTGTAGGGAGCCTTATTTATAAGTCATTTTTCAGATATTTGTGGTAGATTAAGGTCAAGTTTGATTAACTAAAAAAAGTACACTTATTTCATCTTTTTATCTTTTTTGGGTCACATCAATCAATATCTCCTCTCTACTTTTTCTATACATAATACAAAAAAAGTCAAAAAGTGCAAGCTGGATAGATGAGAAGATGCTTCACCGAATCGCTGACTCGTAAAGTTTTCTGTTGATGTATGACTCAGAAAACCACAACGCACATTGTATTTCAAAACTCATGGCCAACTCCGAGAGATGTTATTGGTTGATTTTAAAATACAGTGATATTTTAATAATATTATAATGGATAAAAAGGTAATATTTACAAATTTACGTTGAGTTGTTGTAGGGAGCTTTATTTATAAGTCATTTTTCAGATATTTGTGGTAGATTAAGGTCAAGTTTGACTAACTAAAAAAAGTGCACTTATTTCATCTTTTTATCTTTTTTGGGTCACATCAATCAATATCTCCTCTCTACTTTTTCTACACATAATACAAAAAAAGTCAAAAAGTACACTTATTTAGTCTTCCCAAACTTGGCCTAAGTCATGTGTGATTTCTTATAAGAATAATGCTTGGGACCCCCTTTTGGGGGTCACCCCCTCACCCCCCTTTGCCACGTGGCGGGTGGTGATTGGAGGAGCAGGAAAAAAAAGAAAAAGAAAAAGAAAATGTAACAAATGAGAGAGAGAGGGAGTCAAAGGGGGTGGAAGGAAAAGGGGGGATGAATCATTGTTGTTCTTATAATCTCAAGTCCTATTTACATAGGATTGTATTCCATAAAATCCTACATAAACGTAACGTAACTTGACAACTACATAAACGTAACAACTACATAAACGTAACGTAACGTGACACTTATATAAACGTGACGTAACGTGACACCTACATAAACGTAACATAACACTTAGGCCCCGTTTGTTTTGGGTTATAGCAAGGGGATTAGGATTACTAGTACCTTGGGATTAGTATATGGGTTGTTTGTTTTGAGAGATAGCCCAGGGACTATTAATACCTTGGGACTAACTAATACCTTGTTTGTTTTGAGAGATAGGGAGGATACTACTAATACCTTGGTATTACTAATACCCTTGGGGAGGGGATTCATAGTGAGGAGGTAGAGATGGTATTAGAAACATTGTGAGGGGATTAGAAATTTTTTTATTTTTTATATATTGGAAATTTTTTTAAAAATATAATTTTTTATATAATGCCTTTTGAAAACATAGTAAAAAGCTACATTTTTGGACAAAATGTCCAAAAACGTGGTTGCCAAAAACGCAACAAAATCCTTTTGAAAAGTGCCAAAAACGTAACCCTAAAATTACAAATTAGGACCTATGAAAAA